TGGGATGGGATGGGATGGGATGGGATGGGATGGGATGGGATGGGATGGGATAAGCTGCTCTGCCAACCCCCAGGTTGGCAGGGACCAGCTGAGGTCTGGGGGTGCACGGAAACAGGGCTGGAGTGGGAGGGAAACAGAGCTGGAGACCCAGGTTGGAGCTGGGATAGCACCTGGGGGTCTTGGGGCAGCAAACGGGGGCTCAGCAKATGGGACATGTGGGGTGAAAGGTGGTGGAGGGGGGCACATGAGGGTTCTGGGTGAGAGGGATGAAGTGAGACCCTCCTGYCACGTCCCCCTGGGTGTGGGTGAGAGGGGACAATGGGGTGGCAGCAACTGGGACAGAGCAGCTGGAGCTGGCACGGGCGGTGGGGGCTCKGCAGCAGGTGCTGGGGGAGCACAGACCCCCCTTTGTGCTCAGGGTTTGGGGTTGGGGGGGTGTGAAGGAGCTGCTGGACCCCATGGAAAGCCCTTCTCATGTTTCACAGCCAGAGCCAAGCTTGGCTTCCCGGGAGAGGGAGCGGCTGCTGGTGCTGCCTCTTTAAGGGCTGAAGGATTTTCCCTGCTCCTTGGCTCTCCCAAAAAACCCGTCTGCTCCAAAGCTCCTCTCCAGAGGGGATGTGTGTGTGTGGGGCAGGGACTTCTCCAGGTCTCCCTGGCCAGGTGATCCCGTTGTCAGGGGCTCAGGAGGTATCAGGGGATGGTTTTTGATCATTTCCCACCACTTCCCTAAAAGCTAAACCTTCCTTTCCCTGGTGCTCACCATCCTCCCATCTCCTCCTCCCCTCCCCAGGGCCAAYCTCGTGGACTTACAGAAGAAGTTGGAGGAGCTGGAGCTGGATGAGCAGCAGAAGAAGCGCCTGGAAGCTTTCCTGACCCAGAAAGCCAAAGTTGGGGAGCTGAAGGAYGATGACTTCGAGAGGATCTCGGAGCTGGGGGCTGGCAATGGCGGGGTGGTCACCAAAGTGCAGCACAAACCCTCAGGGCTCATCATGGCACGGAAGGTAMTGAGGGCTGGGGGATGCTGGGGAGTGTCTGGAGCTCTCTTACCTTTGGCAGGGCTGGGTTTGGTTGGATTCTCTCTGCATTTGCACCTTCTCCACCTCACCTGGCTGGGATCACCATCCTGACTGCTCCCAGATGGGTTTTACACGGAGCTGCCTCCCAATCCTCCTTTGGGAGAGGCTGCATTCCCAGTGAGGGATCCCTGGAATTTGGAAAACTGGTTTGTTTTTTTTTTTTTTTTCCCAATTGTGATGGACAAAGTACTTGGAAGAGGATTTCCTGAGGATTGCAGGTCGTGGCTGAGGAGGGCTGGAAGTGGCACGGGTTTGGCACACACATCCCTCACCCTTCAGCCCCATTTAGCACATCCCAAGCAGGCACAGAGGTTCCTCTCAGACCTGACTTTATTGGGAACTTGGCTTTTTTCTCCTTTGTTGCCACAGAGTAGAAAATCAGGCGATGCTCCATGTGCCTGCTGGAAGGGGCCGTGCTCAGAGCCTCTCCTCCCTCCTGCTGTTGGGATCATGGAATGGTTTGGGTTGGAAGGGACCTTTAATCTCATCCATTTCCATGGACAGGGACATTTTCCACCAGCCCAGAGTGTTTCCCTCCCCACTCTGCTCTGCCTCCAAAAGCTGCTGCTCCTTCATGTGCAGAACCTTCACAGGGGCTTTTTCTTTGCTGTGGTTTCCTTGATCTCGGAGCACCTTCTTACAACACCTCCAGAGCTTGTGAAAATGTTTCTGTCTGCTGAGTCAGAGCTGCTGAGATCCAACTCCTGACTCGTCTTTCCGCCCGTGTCCGGTGCAATCCCAGCACCTTCCGTGGCTGAGGCAGC